TTCTGTTTTGAGCCAATCAGATGAGGTAGATGGTGAAGATCGGCGGAACAGAAGAAGTGCAGTGACAGAGGAGAAGATCGGCGGACGATCGGTGGAAGAGAAATTGGCGGACGATCGGCGAAGAGAAGATCGGCGGAGTGGCGGGCGATCGACGGAAGACCCTTCTGCAGTTCTGTTGGTACTTGGTTCCTCCTGAATCTGGGTTTTCTGCTCTGCTCACCGGACCTTCGAACTCAGAACCCATGACTCGAGTGTTTGAAGACAAACACTCAGCCAGTAGGACTAGGAAGAGGTCGGTCCTGAATCTGGGTTTTGCAATTTGTTTCCAGACTTTCTAGTTTCCACTGTCCCGAGCTGCTTATGATTTTAGATTCTTAGGGTTTTTAGTTTTTAGTTTTTAGTTTTTACTTAGTTAATTAGTTTAATTGATTTTTAATTTAGGTTTCAAACTTTAATTTAAGTCAAAAGACAAAAACTTAAAATTAAAAAGATGGTGAAAAACTGAAAATTTCAGCCCGGGCGAGCATGGCCGGTCGCACGGGTTCAGCGGGCACGACGGGCTTGCCGGGTGTCAACGGGTTTCAACGGGCCATTCACCTAAACGGGCTAAAGCCTTCAATCGGCCCGTTTTCAGGCCTGGGCCCGGTTCAACCGGTTCAACCGACCGAGCCGAGCCGGGTCCAAAAACATTGAACTGTAGTGAACAAATTGTTGGATGTTTATGTACCCCAAAAAAAAAAAAAAAAAAAAACTCTTTTTGCTTGAAGAGACAAATGAATATGTATATATTTATTAGATGGCAAAAAAAAAAAAAAAAAGAATGCATTTACTCATTAATGTATGCATTTACTCACATTGCATCATACAAAACATTGTAGTTAAAGTCATCTTTGTTACTTTATTTTATCAACATACTATGTTGTAAAGTGACTAAAGTCATCTATATTTGGTGAAGAAAGAAAGCTATAGAATGTCCCCAAATTCAAAATATAGTCATCCACTTTGAAAGACTCTGGGAAATATACCTACCCTCATAATCACAGAGTCTCAATGCTTGCCTTCTTTGTCTCTTGCAAAGTTACATAATCTTCTCATCTGGTACGTACCTTCGAAGCAAAGACCATTCCTTTTTGTGAATTCTTCGCAACAAACCCAAATCAAAACTTAGAAGTGTGATTCTTTTCTAACTTCGTTTGGGTCGTGGCCATGCCTCACACCAAAAGAGTGGAGTAATAAATGAAGTCATCATATAAATACCCGCATAAAGTATACAAATTTTAATGGAAATATTTTGTATTCTAATGACAAAAAATAATTTCAACTTTTGTAAAAAAAAAAAAAAGGAGAATCCTGAGAAGACACTTTAATTAAATGAAGAAAGTGGAATGCCCTTCAAATTAAGCAAAGAATATGAATTTGAATTGATCGATTCCCAAGTTTTCAACAATAGTTATGTCTTAACCCTAGCTTAAAAGGAGAATGAATTCATATATAGCTTATTCCTAGTGTTACATTAACAAGAATAGATTAGCGATTGTTGCTTGACATGGTGTGGTTGGCATAGTGGCAAGTCGGATACAGGAGACATTGATAAAATGAGAAACAAAAATAGACATCAAATTCAGATGCTGAAATTGATTTATTTTTAATTGTTTTGATCAATATACGCATGAAACAAACCCCAGATAATTAAGCACTTAAATAAGTTTTTCTACGTTTTAATAATTCCATACTTGAAACTAATTCATTGTCATTGGACTCGGATCATATATATGACTAAATCAAATTGGAAATATATATATAACAGTATTCACACCTGTAAAGGCTATTCTAAAAATCTTGCTGTGTTTATAAATTTGAGCAAAATAAGAGCTCTGAATCACCCTTTCAAGCCATGGCAAACCGACGTTTTCTCAGAAAATGGTTGGGAAAGGAGAAGAAGAAGAAAATAGTGGAGGGCAACGGCGACATAGCGAAAAGATGGAGAAGTTTGAGTGGAGAGAATTATTGGAAAAATCTACTAGACCCTCTGGATCTGGATCTCCGGTCCTACATTATTCACTACGGGGAAATGGCTCAAGCTACGTACGACACTTTCAATTCCCAGACGTTATCCAAGTACGCGGGAAGCAGCATCTACTCTAAGAACAATTTCTTCTCCAAGGTGGGTCTGGAGAAAGGCAATCCATTCAGGTATCAACGAATTTCAAAACTTTAATACTTGGGTTAATTAAGCAATAGAGATTAGTGGTTGGCTTCGTTTGAGATTACTGCACGTGAACTTAATTCTTTCTTTGCCTATAAAAAATTGATACAGGTATGAGGTTACGAAGTTTTTCTATGCAACATCGGGAATTCAGGTACCAGAGGCGTTTATTCTAAGGTCATTGTCGAGGGACGCATGGAGCAAACAATCCAACTTTATGGGGTTCGTGGCAGTAGCTACGAACGCAGGGAAGGAGGTTTTGGGGCGGAGGGACATTGTGGTGGCATGGAGAGGGACGGTTGAGTCGCTGGAGTGGGTTAATGATTTTCAGTTTAATATGGTTTCTGCTGATATGATTTTTGGGCAGGATAGTGCTGTTAAGGTACACCAAGGTTGGTATTCTATTTATACTTCAGAAGACGCTAGTTCGCCCTATAACAAAAGAAGTGCCAGAGATCAGGTAACTACCCAAGTCAGTACTAGCTAGGTGGTAGTTGATTAGTTCTTGATGATCAACTGGGAAAATTTTGTGTAGAGTGGATATCGACTCTAATTTAATAGCTCAATTTGTTTTCCTTTCCTGCTCAATTAGGTTCTTGAGGAGGTCAAGAGACAAGTGGAAAAATACAAGAACGAGGAGATTAGCATAACGGTGACGGGCCACAGCTTAGGTGGAGCACTTGCGACATTGAATGCTGCAGACATAGTTGCCAGTGGCTACAATAGAATCTCGAACAGAGCCTGTCCTGTTACAGCCTTTGTATTTGCTGGTCCCCGAGTGGGCGATTCCAACTTCAAGAAGGTGTTTATTGGTCTCCAAGATGTTCGAGTTTTACGCATCCCTAACGCCCTAGATGTTGTCAATAAATATCCCTTCACTGGTTACTCGGATGTGGGAGAAGTGCTTGAGATTGACACCCAAAAGTCCCCGTACCTGAAGA